AGTACCCTGTCTGACACACAGACTCCCACAACAGCTTCTTCTTCCCAGCTGCTGCTTCGTCACAACCCAGTGTCTCTCAGCATCTCTCACACCACACACGCTCCACATATATATACAGTACAGCCCCTCCTCCTGATGTCCCGCCTTCCACTCCCCATAGGATGGAACTTTCCCTCCAAACCCATGACAGACAGGTAACATCAGTGCTGTATGTAACAGCCCTACCCCAAAAATAAGCCCCAGTGAAGTGAAGCCCTGCTCTCCACCCTTGGGCAGCAACCAGAAGAAGAGGACAGGACTGTAAAATAAAACCTCCCCTGAAAATAATCCCTAATGCGTTTCTTGGGGGCAAAAATTAATACTGTACAAGACCCTGTCTTATTTTTGGGGAAACATGGTAGTGAGTTGTTGAGTGAATGATTGAGACTGTAAGTGCCAATGGATGAGAAAAAGGGGGTGGACTCATCTGGTGAACTTGAAGCTATTCTTCTCTGTGTGCCCTTGCACCTCTGCTATGCAACTAAAAGAATTTAACCCAGAATTTAAAACTCTTCCACACAGGGACCATTTGGGGACCCCGGAGGACCACACCGCCCATCTGACCCTCCTCCAAAGGGGTGACCGGTCACATCCTGAGATACTTCTGGAAGCACGGCTTGCCATTTCATCAGGGGTGGGTGGGTAGGAGTCGGCACTGGGAGGGTCTCAAGGAACTCAGGCAAGCTGCATTGATCCCTGGACCTCCATTTACCCACCTCTGCTTTTAGGTATGGGGGGGGGAGAATAGTGATCATTTCCAAGTTCCGTTTGATGCTCTGTCCCTCCCTCACCTGTCCATCCAGTTTGTCCTGGCATGATGGAGCCCAAGTCAGGTGGGTTGTTTTTCTTCTTCCAGGGGTTCAAGAGGGGATGATCAGCGGGAGGTGGTGCGGAAGGGAGTTCAAGGAGCCACATGCAGAGCGACAGCCCTCCTTCCCCTCCCTTTCTGGTGGACATGTCAACCCTTGCGCACCACCGAGTGGGTGTCTGGCTTACCACTGGCTGAAGCCCAGAACAGAGCGCCGGCCAATTTCCTGCTGAGAGGTGAAACGGAACCCGAAGCCCTGGCATTTCCCCAGGAGAGACGTTTCCCCCCACACACACACACACACCTCCGAGCATCAGCAGAAATCTCAACCCTGCGGAATGTACCGACATCTCTCCATGCAACACGTAAAGGCTGAGCCTCGGCTGGGCATCAGCTCAGCCCCACCAGAGAGAAAGCTGGCCCGTGCTCAGGGGCCCAGAAACCCCCAGCAAAAGCTCTCCACGGAGGATGTTCGGACCGATCCTCTGGAATGTCGTTCGGTAGGCATCCCATCAGAACTCACCGTTTGGAAAAGCACCTCTTTCAGCCTACAGCTCCAGAATCCCCCCCCCTCCACTACTGTGGCTGGTGACACTTTCCAGCCAGATGTGGTGGTCCTGAAACAGATGTTTGACATCCAGGGACAAATCTATCTAGGCTCCTTTTAAACAGGTCCATTCATTCTTGTGTTTTCTATTTTCACTCCAAATCAGAACAATGACAAGCCTGCAGCTCAGCGCTTTCTATTCTGATTTAATGTAAGGACCCCCTCTTAAAGATGGCCCTCTTAAAGATGAAGAAAAACTGAAAGAAAGACAAAAGTGGGGTCTTAGATCAGACCCAATCCGGATTCTCTCTGGAGGCGAACATGTTGAAACAGAGGCTTATGAAGAAAAACTGAAAGAAAGACAAAAGTTAGGTCTTAGATCAGACCCAGTCTGGATTCTCTCTGGAGGTGAACATGTTGAAACGGAAGCTGTCCTCCTTTGGGCACCTCCTGAGGAGGCAGGATTCTTCTCTGGAAAAGATGGTCATGCTGGGAAAGGTGGAAGGCAGCAGGAGAAGAGGAAGACCCAATAACATGAGATGGACGGACTCCCTGAAAGAAGCCACAAATGCTGAGCAGGCCTGCTGAGGACAGGAGATTTTGGAGATCGGTCATTCACAGGGTTGCCATACGTTGGAGGTGACCGAGAGGCCCATAACAACTAAAAAGAGTAATAAGTTTCATCTGGTGTAAACTCTTGTGGACCATAGCCCACTTCTTCAGATGGAGGAAGAGGGCATCTAGAAAACTTGGCCACAGGCCACCAGGATCTTCAACTTGCTAGCCTGTAAGGCACTGCGGGTCCTTTCGTTGGTCGGTTAATATGACCGTTAATAATAATAATGTTCATTGTGAGTTTTCAGGTCAGTTCTGACTTAACGGCGACCTAGATCCAGGGCTTTACAGGTACAGAATACAGTACTCAGACAGGAGTCCTTTTGAGGAGAAAAGCAGAGGAAAAATGTTTTAAATGAATAAATAAAATAAATTCTTCTGAGGATGCCCTGGGGCAACCCCCACCCCATGTTTTAAATGAATAAATAAAATAAATTCTTCTGAGGATGCCCAGGGGCAACCCCCCACCCCAGTACAGCTTGCCCAAGTCCACCCAGGCTTGGCTGTTCTCCCAGGAGGCCCGATGGGGAGGAATCGAACTCACAACCCTCTGGCTCCGTATCCAGATGGCTGAGCTCATTTGCCCCACCGGAAATCTGGTAAGGAGCTTCTTGGTAAAAAATGTTCCTCCTTTCTCTTCCCCTTAGGTTAAAGGAGCACTTGAGGATGATGGATCACATGCTGCGGGTCACCGGCCGCCTTGCCGAGGCGATGGAGCAGGTGTCCCGGAACCTCCTGGCGACTCTGGCCACCTCGGGCGAAGCTCCTGCCCTTGCCTAGGGAAGTCCCCCTGGGGCTGCTTTGGGAGGGATGGAAAGATGCTCCCGCCGTGGACTCTCCAGCAGCGACGGCCTTGAGCCTTTGGAGCCATGCGCTTTCCTGACATCCCAGGCCCCCGGTGTGAACGGACTCGAGACTCGAACTCGGGGCATGGGATTCAGGAAATGCCCCCTCCCCCAAGACTCAGGATTCCAACATCCCTGGGAGTCGCCAAGGCTCACCAGGGACTGGGGCAGGTGCCATCGTTTGGATGAAATCCCTGTGCTAGCAGGGGCATTGGTGACGGCCACCTTCGGCATGTGGATTCCCTGGGGGATTCTGGGAGTTGTGGTGGTGGTGGGGAACAGGCATTCTCATGCCCCTGCTCCTTAGAATCAGCCACGCTTGTCAGCTAAACCCCAGCCTGTTATGGGGGCCATCCAGAAACCAAATCCTCAACTACCTTTTGCCTTCTACCGGATGAGAACAGAGCTAGGAGACTTTTTTTATACTACAACTCCCAGTATCCCCCACCAAGCCCAGCCAGTGGGTTTCTTCACCTTTTATGATTCAAGGCTACGCGCTTCCATGGGAGGGGGCTGCCAGAGGTCACTTGTCCATCCAAAGGGCCACATCTTGTCCAAGAATCACAAGAAGGAAGGCGGTCGGGGCCGTTGACCTCACCCATCATCCACGATGAGCATCCCCCGGGGCAGCCGCCGCCTCGGCTGAAGGATCGCACGCAGGGCCATCCGATCACAGGCTTCTCCCTCCGAGCGAAATGCATCGGAATTCTAGGAAATCCTTTCGCTTCTTCTCTACATGTAAACCAGCACGGGTCATTTTACGCAAAGCCGTGTTTTATTCCATTTGCCTTTCTTTAGGCGACGCGCCCTTTCGGGTGATGTGTTTTTAAAACATAAATTTTAATAAAGGTTAAACAAGACGTAACGTAGGAAACAAAGAAAAACGCATGTCACGCGCCTGATTCCCACCCGCTCGATAAACGTACATTAGATTAGTGACCCCATCACTGGGGTCAACGGAGATCTATCTCCTTCGGACCATGGGTGATGATGCGCCATCTCCCTTCCCAACAAAGCATCATCTCTTTTGATGACATACCTGTGGCCGCTCTCTGGGAAACCCATAGCCATGCGGACTGGCTATGCGTGAGGGGGAGAGGCATGGAGGCAGCTCATTCTGGCTGGGGATTCTGGGAGTAGTAGTACAAAAAAAAAGAGAGAGAGAGAGAGGCAACTTTTCCAACTACTGGGCAGAAGGCCATGCAGTCGGTGTGTCTGTGTGATTGTGTGTGTATCAATGGTCCTTCTGGTCAACTTGTCCCGGCCTGAGGTCCTCAGCTGCATGCCAGCACAAAGTCTGGGGAGGGTTCCGGAAGGGGTAGCCCCCCCCAAGTGGAAACTTCTCCGAGGGGTGGATTGTGTTGCAGAGTTTTGAATTTCTGGTAAACTTCCTTTGCTAGGCAGTAGAAGTACAGGGACTCACAGAGGGGAATAGTTTCAAGTTCCCCAGATAGTCCACCCCTTTCTCATGAACGGGCACTTAGAATCTCATCCACTCACTCTGAGGCATTTGTAGTTTCGTTGCTTACTGCTGTGAACAGGTCAACCGCAAAACAACCTGAACCCACCGCATTCTATGGCCAAAAGAGAGGGAAAGAGAACACTCAGCAGAGAGGCGGGCCTCTCTTGGAGTTCAATTCGATTGGTTAGTGCTGGATAGATGGACAGTCAACCCCCAGCCCAGGAAAAGTCCCTCCCGGTCACTCAGATCATGGGCAGTAGGTGAAGCTGTCAAAACCCCAACACATTGGTTAGTGCTGGATAGATGGACAGTCAACATCCAGCCCAGGAAAAGTCCCTCCTGGTCACTCAGATCACGGGCAGTAGGTGAGGCTGTCAAAACTCCAACGCACTACACACATAAACACACACACAGTGCTTTGCGTGTCGGTGAAAACACAGCCACCGGGAAGGGGAGAAAAAGAGTGGAAATGTGTGCAAAGCTCCTCGGGAACCCCCAGCGACTCCTTCCATCCTATTCACACACTCTTTGGGCTTCAAGAGGAGAAGAGAGGCGAAGCCATACTCTCTCCTCCTCCCCCCGTTTTCAGGGCAGAACCACCAGGGGGCGCCTTCGCGCTGCTCTCCCGGGTCCCCTTAAACAAGATTTAGTTGACTCTGGCGCCCCCTGGTGGTGTGTTTCCCTCCCTTTTTTTGCTGCGGCTGCAAGAAGCCCCCCCTCCCCGATTTCTTCTTCTTTTCTTTTATATAAACAATAGTTAACCCAAAGCTGCCCGCCTCAACCTGCCATTCCCTGAGAGGTGTCAGACTACAAAGCCTATCACTCCTAGGCAGTGGGTTCCTGCTGGTTGGGGATGATGGGCCTTGCAACCTGGCACAGCCCCAGTGAAGCCTCAGGGGTGGTCCAGCAGGAACCCATGCTCTGCCTCTCCCTGATTTTATTACCTTGGGGAGGAAAAAAGAAAGGTATCAAGCTTTAAAGTTAAAGAAATAAAATGGAACCGTCTGCGGCATGCTTTATTTATTGATTGATCTATTTGATTTATACCCCGCTCATCTGGCCTATAAGACCACTCTAGGCGGCTACAGAGGCTCAAAGGTGAAATGCTTCACCTTTGAGCCTCTGTAATGCAGGATGGCTTAGGCAGGGCCGACCCTAGGAATTTTGCTATATCTGTCACATAGAGTTCTCCGTCTTGAAAATGGAAGAGGCTGGAGAAGTTCCTTTTCCAGGCTGTAAGTTTCCGACTGCCACAGCCGCAGTGGCTTGGGGATGCTGGCGGGTGTAGTCCAAAAAAAGAAACTTTTTCCAGGTCATGAAAAATAGACTCCATTCCACTTAGCTTGGGGGTTCTGAAAGTGGACGCAGCCACATCAGATCCTTTGCAAAGTTCAAATTGCGATGCAGCAGATCAACAATAACAGCCAGGAGAGTGAGAAATCTTGACAGGCTTAAGAAGATTGACTCTTTTAAGATGAATATGGTGAAAAGTTGAAGGCAACAGGAAAAGAGGATGATCTGATGTGAGATGGATTAACTTGGTATAGGAAGCCATGGCTGGAAGTGACAAGACTGCGGCAAGGGTGCTAATGATGGGACTTTTCGGAGATTCGGCCAAGATATAGGTAGACCGGGGCAAGGGAAGTGAGGTCCCTCAGGTGTGGCTGGATGACAAATCCCATCAGCCCTAGCTAGCAAAACCCGTCGCGCAGAATGTTGGAAACCGCAGTTCCACAGGATCTGGAGGGTTCCCCTTTCATCATCCGCTGGAGTGGACAATCAGGTGCGGGAGGGAAGCATGGTTAGGAGTGTGGAACTGTGGATTACCCTTTTCACCTGAAGACGGAAACGCTGGGAGAAGCGAGGATGACAACCGGTCAAGTAACCGAAAGACCGCCCTATAGAAAAGTGCAGAGATTTGATCTCGAGCCTGCTACAGAGGCCGGGGTGGATCTGACCGGCTCAGCTAGTCAATAGTAGCAGTAGCAGAAGGTCCTTAATGGAAGAAGCCTTCAGACCCTTTCAAATAAACACCGGCAAATAATGCAACCAACAGCAAACAAGTCGTCTTGCAAAATATCTTTGAAGACTCTCAGGTTGCAGCTTGCAAAGGGTTAAATGTAATAAAATGCGAACGTTATCTATACAATTCAGTGAGACAATTTGTCATACTAAAATAAGCGTCTCCCAGTGGCTTAACTAATCTCTCTGTACATAACTGGAAAAATGGGGTATGTCAGTCTGCATGAACTGAAAAATTAATTTACCCAGTCCAGTGGGCAAGTCACATCCAACATGATTTTAAAAGAAATATTTATTTTCCTTTTATTAATGATTCCGGCTGAAAGTAATATGATGAATAGTCCTCCAGCTGCACACTAGGAGTTATAGTCTGCCATTATCGATTCAAGATTATTTGATTCCCCACTGCCCCATTACAGACGGATGCTTATCTAGCATAAAGCTGCCCAGAGACCTTTGGGTAGAGTGGGCGGCATATAAATGAATGAATGAATGAATGAATGAATGAATGAATGAATGAATGAATGAATGAATAAATAAATAAATAAATAAATAAATAAAGGGACTTAGGTATTTCATATATTTGTTTAAACGCTGTGCTTTTTGAATAAAACGTATTTTAAAAAAGAAGAAGGTGGAGATTTTCATTTTCATTAGAAGAAACATCTCCCTGTTAAGCACCATTTGACAGTGGAACTCCTCACCACTTTAAGCCACTGTGGGCTGCAGAGGCCCTCCCTGGGATTCCCTACATTAATGGTTGTGCACGGGTGCAAATTAATTTCCCATTCTGTGAGGCTAAAGGTCCCTCACAAATCCCCTTCCCTCACAAACCGTAACCCCCATGTCCCTATGTCACCCTTCATGTAAAAAATAAAATAATTTTTTTTTTAAAAAAACCACCATCATAATCTTTCCCAGAATGATTTTCCCTTCCTTTTTCCTTTACTTACGTTGCATGCAAATACGTATGTCACCCACTTCCTCTGCATGGGACACCCAAGAGGCTTATCTGGGTACTCCACCTGACTTGCTAGGTGTTCCGCCTCCAACATCAGCCTAGAGAAGACCAGTCCAGCGTGGGGGCTTGCAGCCTGTTCTCCAAAATCTGGAGCCATCTGCCATGTATACGTCAACTGGGTTGGACTAGATGGCCTTACATGCCCCTTCCGGCTCCTGTGATTCGATGAAGCTCCCTCCTGTTGCCCAAATGCTTTTGGCATAACCTTTATCCACAAGGCAGGCAGTCCCTTTTAATTCATCCTTTTCCCCACCGGCTGTCCTCTCCCATCAGTGAAATGATAAGTTGTTCAGGACTTGCAGTTCTGCTTCCCGCACCCCTCTGGGGGCTTCTCAGGTCGCTCGGGATGAAGGCCCGACCCACCAGATCCCCCCAGGCCAGGGTCTCCCATGTGGCCACCCCGACGGGAGCCCAGAAGTCTTCTGCAAGGTGCAGGGCCTTCTCCGTGGTGGCTCCAACCTTATGGAATCAGCTCCCGGAGGAGTTACGCCTGCCCTCCTCGCCCTGTGGCCATTTAGAACATTTCTTGCACCGTGGTTTCATATGCTGTCATGCATTTTACTTTTTCCGGATCCATTCTGCTTGTTTGTTTACTTACTTACCTATTTATTTGACTTCTGCACCGCCCATCTGGCCCCGAGGCCACTCTGGGTTAGTTTACAACACCGCAAAACAGGAACACTTAAAAATAAATAAATAAATAAATAAATAAAGAGAGAGAGAGAGAGGGAGAGAGAGAGAGAACATCATCGTTGTAAAGAATCAAAATTCCAACATACGATCACAAAGGCCAGAATAACAGCAACACCAAGAGAAAGGATTTTCCTGATTTGGAAAGCAGGATGGCAGAATGGAAATAAGCACTGAAAACTGCCACTGTGCAAGGTAGGTAGGTAGGTAGGTAGGTAGGTAGGTAGGTAGGTAGGTAGGTAGGTAGGTAGGTAGGTAGGTAGGTAGGTAGGTAGGTAGGTAGGTAGGTAGGTAGGTAGGTAGGTAGGTAGGTAGGTAGGTAGGTAGGTAGGTAGACAGACAGACAGACAGACAGACAGACAGACAGACAGATAGATGAGAGAAAGAGAGGGACAGACAGAGGGACGGGCAGACAGACAGAGAGAGAGAGAGAGAGAGAGAGAGATAGAATTGATCATGCCTGCTTTTACTGCAACCTCCCTTCAGCATTCTTTATGGGTGTTTTCTGTTACATTTCTGAAGTGCACCGAACACTTTATCGTTTTTGAAACAACAAGCCTGTAAGGTAGGTCGCTGGCTGTCATGCGGTGTCTGTTTTCCAGCGGAGGGGGGGGGAGAGGGCAAAGCAAGGGAGCGAGAGGTGCCCAAGAGAGCAGCCAG